TCCAACTTACTGTAGGTCTCGACGGGCGAAAACCTTAAAATATCGGGAAATTATTTATGGGAGCGACTCCCAGCACGTGTATAAGCAAATGTGACAACTGTGATAGAGCGCTGTTTTCAGGACTCAAGTGACGACCGGAAAACAGGTCAGAAAAGTTTCTTAGGAGTGACCCTAAGTATGTATAGACCATGACGCAAGTATTAGCTGTGACTTTCTTCTAAAGCTATCTGATACTGTCCCGAATTAATACCGTGTACTGCAGTTACATTCAATTATTTGCTCATGCAAACCTTTTTTGATTAACGGGTTATTCTGTAGCTCTAAGTAGTTCGTGAACAGTTGAGGGCGGTTGAGCAGAAAAAATGTTTTTTTCTGATTTTCAGAGTGTTCATTGTTTCAGATTATAAATGACCACTACTGTGTGGGATTTGGAAAGCAGGCTTAAACGCATTAGGAAAGCAGACTTAAACGTGATTTTATTTAGTAATTCTATACGAATATCAATACTTGTTTCCAGGGGACTTCGGGCAAAACACAAAATGCCAAGCTGGATGGATAATGTTCTTTGTTATTATAGACAGTTGGACTACTCTTCCGATACTTCTGCCGCATAAACGCAGATGGCTGCCTAAAATACTTTTAGCATTAGTAACATTCAATTAGCTTTAGTAAACCGTGGAGAACTTTAACGAATTTTAAATCCGAATTCCTTTCAAATGTACTACTCATGTAAAACAAAAGACATCACTAATAATATTTCCGTTTGTGGAGCTAATTTCCAAAATCTCCATTAAAATAATTTGAGTTTTTTTCGGCACCCGTCGTGTTTTTATATATTCGCCTTCAAAGAAGTCAAATAAAACGGGAATTACTTCCTATACGGCTGATAATGTTGGCCTTTGGCTAAAGGGTGGACTTTATAATTTCGGAAACACTCAGCGAAGTAATGCTTAAAAGTGATAAAACTGAAAAGCGCAAAATCGTTATGTAATGATGGAGTGGTAAACACGCTATGTTTTAATAATCCGCAATCGTTGTACATTTTTTTTTTATTATTTTCGTGTCTCAACAAAGCACAAACGCGCTCTGGATTTTATCAGAAACGCAGCGCTCTGTAAATAACCTGACTTGAACTGAAACTTTTCGGACAACTGGAAATGGGTTTACAGTAGTTGAGTATTAAAAACCGCAGATTCGTCCTTGAGCATTTAATACTGTATATTTACTCGTCAGACATTTTTCAGGAGACAGTTATTTAATCTCGTTTTCCGAGCCTTTCACGCAGTACGGTATATTTAATGTTACTATATTGTATTTGTAGTAAAGCGACGATTCTATGCATGCTGTTACTACTATCACTAAAGTAAGACGAAAACACAGGTTCCAAATTAAGTTTCATTAACACCCTAAATATCACTCAATTGAATGATACTGATATATGGATATCAAACCCAAACCTAAGGTTTTGTATCTTCACTGTATATAATTCACTGTTTTCCACCTTCAACAAAATCACGTTAAAGGTCTTGTAGAACCGTGTAGCCTACATACTGTATTCTTCGTTAAATATGTTTACCATTTTGTTCGAGTATAAACGCTGTTCATGAATGTTAATTGTTTTTGTAAAAACATAAATTTCAAATAGAAAACACTGTTCTAATTGGCTACAAGGAATGGAAAGAAAGTGAACGAATACATACAGTACAGTAAATGTAAATGTTAGAATTTATTATACGGTAACAATTTCTCAGTGGTCACCTGATGTACATACAGTATTTAATTATACTTTAATAAAACTGTACCACCCCTCACGTGTTTTTTTTACTGTAAATCAATGCTTTTCATTTAAAAATACAGGACATACGAAAGGGATACGTTTATTTCGCCAAACCGAATCATTTATAAAAGTGCTTCTTTAAATTTTGAATTTCCTCAGTACCATATCTTCAGAACCCAATCACTGCTATTACGACAACAACAACAACAAAAACGACTGTAAGTCAAAACGTTTAGATTGATCCGGGAGAAAATATCCCAAGGCGCACGTTTTAAAAAACAAACATCATGCGCCTTGTGTAGTCAACTCGGTCTGTCAAGTTACCTGGAGCTCTCACTGTTGAAGACAGTCCTCCGCACGCCTTCAGCATAAATACAGTCAGTGTAGCACATGCTGTTTAACATGTAGAGATCATGTGATAGCCTTGGCCTGCATCAGTGAAATATGTGCGGTGTTACAGGTGCCCGGAGCCGTAAAGTTGAAGCGCACGGACAGTATTTCCAGGCCTCCATCCGAAGACGAAAATAGCTACTGTATTAATGCTAAAAGCTATCATGAACTAGTCAAAATCAATCTTACACACACTTATAATAATAATAATAATAATAATAATAATAATAATAATAAATATGACATCACATTGCTTTTGTACCTTTTTTTCGTAATGTCCTGCAGTTCAGACCTTAATTCAGCTCGGAAAAATAATAATTACTTGAAGAAAATCATTTTTTTAAGTACTGACGACACTCCGCTAACTCGCTACAATTATTGTTTATCTACCATCACCTAATATTGGGAAAGAGCGCAAAGCAGGTCCTACCATGCACGTTCGGTTATCCATCATACGTAGAGTTATTTAAAAAAAAAAACATACCTTTTGAACCCTAAGCAGCGATTTTCCTGTTGTCCCTTCAACTACTAGGTTTCTTTGTAGACATCGAAGAGATTCGGGGGGAGGAAAAAACTCGGAATTTCAGCTTTTCCCTTTTGTTTTAAGAACTCCCAAATCAGGAAGAATGATAGTAAAAAAATAACATACCTTCCCCTGAGGTCTGGCTGAGTGTGCGCGTCTCTGCGTGTGAACAGTAGTAGTCCACCTGTTTTGCCCAAACACGGGACAACAGCTATTGAGGGGGTACAAGTCCCTTTCAATTGAGAAGCTGCGCTGGAGTCAAGTTCCACGTTTTCTCTAGGCGTCCTGTACAAACAAATGACTAAACAAAAATAATAATGATGATTTTTTTTAACAAAATAAGCCCTCGAAAGGTTTTTTTTCCTCCTTTGTAGAATCTTTTCTAAGCCGCGCAGACTACAGAGGTACGCTGAAGAATGGAAATAAAACCAAAGGATTAAAGAGGTTTATTAATTGGAATCCTTCCCCTTTAAGAATGACTGACAGTTGTTTTCTGGACAAGTAATTGCTCTAAATGTAGTTCGTATTCACCCCCACAGGAGGAGGGCCGAACTAATGAATCCAAGACAAGAGTTTCTTTCACGAAATCTATTGTTTTAAGGACAAAGGAGTTCTGCGGAAAGTTTTCGCTAATCCCCTCATTATTCCAATGAAAGAAAGAGCACATTAAAAAAAAAACTTTCGGCAGAAATAACGTTCTTTCGCGCGTGTCGTTAATGGGCAGAGTCTGATTTCTGAGCTTTAAAAACAGACTCGCTGCACTCTCGTGTTATTTACTAAGAAGCTTAAAACCAAGGTATTCAACAAACAAAAAAATAAATGTATTCCTGTGAGAAATATTTGGTTATTGTTACTTAAATTAGTCATGTCAGTCATAACAGCTTCTGAATTATTATGAACCTTATGTCTGTCTTTGTAGTGGAGCCTACATATTGTTGCTTAGCATACAATAGGTAGTTTTAAGTTTTAATGCTTCTAAGATATTGCTTATCAGTATTGAAAAGGTGCAACTATGTGCCTCAGTATTTTGTGCACAATTCATAGTTTTACCATTAATGCACAGTACTTGCCACAAAGCGCACCATTTCTAATTAACCCTATTGAACCTGCATGTTGTATAGCTATACTTCACTTAAGTGTAAGGAGTGTTCTTAATCCAGTTATTAATTTAGCTGATCTCATTTTAATTTTGTTGATGCAACAAGAACTACATGTAGTACAAATTCACACAATGGAGTCAGTTTCTGCTCCTTACAAGTCTAGGCCAAAAAAGAAAAACGGAACAGAATGTTTTGCTGACCACAACGCATTACAAACGTCAATGTTCCTGTCAGCTGTTCTGTGTTTGGGTGTTACATGGATTAGCTTCCCCGTGTTACACCTCTCCTGTCCTCTCTAACAACTTGCTTCGTAAGAGACCGTCAGAAACAAAACCCAGGAGGAAAGAATGACATGAGCTCTGACGAGTGTGCATGTAATTCCTGTACATGACATCACTTTTAAATACTCCCATGATCCACTGCATTACAATGGAAAGCGTCATGATACATTTAAACCACAGTATTGTATCAGCAGCGTAGTGCCCTTTGCTCAGGGTTAAACCAGCAGATGTTGTGCTCCTATAACACAATGATATATTTTTAAATTGCAAGGCCACTTTGAGAATGGAATTACTAGATATTATGGACCCGGTTGTGACAGATTACAGCACACGCAACAGACAAGACGGTCTTTGCGCTGATCGCTGGGCCTCCTTCTTTCATGCAGATTTGAAAACGGAAGACAGCAAATCCTGCTGGTGCCAAGATAAACACAAAATCTAATCAGAAAAAATAACCCTTTGACCCCTGCCCACATGGCACTAAACGATGTAGGCGATGGTCTGCGAGTCTGGACCAGTTCTTAAAAATTTCAGGTGCAAATACACAAAGCTGGATTCCCCCTGGGAAGTCTGGATCAAAGAAAATTGTCTGCAATTAAATGCAAGTTTTGTTTAATAATGCCATAATAAACTACTAAGTGTTCTTAATATATTAACTAAGAAGTTGTAGTCTTAGAAGTAGCATTCCTTGTATTGTATTATTATTAGTTGTAGAAGTAGCATTCTTTGTATTTTATTATCAGTACTTGTAGTCTTGCACTGGGCTGAGCATTTGTGGTTGGATGGATTTTGCTTTGCATCCCATATACTGTATACCATGAAGGGCAGATATTGTGCAGTTGCATCCCCACTACACAGCAGATGAGGTGGAGAAGTAAGAAATGATAGTTATAATTTATAAGGTGGGTTATAACAGAACTTCTGGAGGAAGGTTAGATGCTAATCTCTTCCACTTCCCCTCTCCTACGTATTTATAATCTCGCCTCCCGGACTTCCCTTTGTACATTTTCCGCGCACCCCTCCATGACCAATTCCACACCCTTGCAGCAGCTCCCTGGCTCATTCCTCTTGAAAGTGTGTGTGTGTGTGGGGGGGGGTTTGGTCAGCCTCAGCCTTACAATCAGGATACCTCTCAGTTAGGAGAGAGTGACGCCACATGAGCTCTCATACATTTGAGCCTCTATCACATTCGTTGGGATCGAACCAACTCGCTGAACTGACTTAAGGGGGAATCTGGGGAGGCCAGACTGTTTAATCCCAGGGTGGAATTTAGCCAGAACACTTGGGTGATTCTCTTGCCAGCACTACTGGTTAAAGTACTGTCCCGAAAAAGTTAACTGACATTTAATTTGCTACACACAGTGAAGCAAGTCATGTGCAAGACTGGTGTCTTGCAAGATGTTTAAAAATTAGGACCTGCAGTTCTCCATCCCCACCCCGTCTCTTCCTCTCCCCGTGCGTCAGAGGGCTGTGGCTTTAAGATTCTGCCTGCACAGCCCAGTGGGACGCGCTGAAATCTTGGCTGAGCTGAGAGAGCTAACTGTCACAGAGATCAACTCTACCCTTAAAGAGGCTAAGGAGTTCTCGGGAGATTTCCTCTGACCTCAATGAAATCTAAAGATAAGTTTAAGAAGCTCTGACGGCTCCTACCCGAATCCCCGCAATGGAGAAATTTTAAAAAAGGAAAGGTCAATAACACAGGCATGGAAGAGTGTGCCCCGCAGGGCAGCTCTTACCCTGTGATGGAGGAGGAGATTGGTCAATCCCACATGGGCTAAAAAATGAGCGCGGCAATACAGATATAGGTGAATCAGTCTTCCCATGGGATGGGTGTACAGTGTACAGTCTGTGACATGAATGCTGGATCCAGTCTTTAGTGGGTTTGGAGCTCAGGCTCTTCCAGACATTTGCAAGTATAATGACGTAAACCTCTGTGATTCCCGGGAACGGTGTACTCACATACTGTAACCTTCTGCAATGATCCCAAATGAATTCCACATGAAATTTACAAAGAGCACCTTCAGTACTAATCATTACTGGTATCTATTATCAAGTATTGCAACACAAAATGCAAAATTTGATGTCGAAATAAACTTGCTATTGGTTGCATTTCTTTCTACATTGAAGAGATTTAACGACCTCTTTATACAGCCTGTCAGATCTGTTATAAAATTGTTACCACTTTATAGAGGGCAACCCTTAGAGCCGTAATAAAACACGAAATCTTCTGTAGGTATCAATAAGCTACTAACAACTAGATAGGCAACTGGGCTGAATGGCCTCCTCTCATTTGGAAACCTGTTTTCACCTGTTTTTGTTTCAGTTTATTGTTCCATGGAAAGATATGACCTGACACTGACGTCTGGGCTCCTGCTGTGGCCTCTACACTGAATGCACCAGTGACCCCAGGCAGGGGTGAAAGGGGAGAGGTTAAATCCCAGCTGACCCTGACTCTGCCCACCCCCCTCCAAGGTGACAGTGGACCTCACTTTCGGTCCAGTCACCACACAGCAATCAGAAGGCAGGCTCGTGTCTGTCCGCCCGAGAGCTAATTCATGTGGCCGATTCCAGAGGCTGAAGGATGGAGAAGTGTGAGCTGGCAGCTCTCCCTCCTAAACAGGACCATATTTTCTAAGAATTTCACATCAGATGAGCCAATGGAGTTCATAAGGAGAAAGAAGGTCTAGGGATTGTAAAAGCTGCACACTGTGAATATGTATGGCCATATAGGGTTAATTATTTGAAGTGTAGATTTATTTAAATTTACGTTAACGTATTCTGGCCACTGATCCATTTTCTAACACCTTTGTCCAATTCAGGGCCATGGTTGAGCCAGAGCCTCTCTCAGCAAGCAACGGGCAAAAGGTGGGCTGTAGCATGGGCATCACTGCAGTCCGTCACAGGGCACACACACACACACACTCACATCAGGGCCAGTTTTGCCAGAAACCAATGAACCTGCCAGCATGTCTTTGGACTGTGAGTGGGAAACCAAGTGAATATGGGGAGAACATGCAAACTCCACACAGATGGTACCCCAGCTCCGGAATTGAACTCAGGGCCCCAGTGCTGTGAGGCAAAAATGTTAAGCACTACTCCACCTCGTTTGTATTTTCCAATACAAAAAGGCCAGATGGGGGATTGTCTAAGGCGTGGGTAAATAATTTCTTGTTGATTGATGAACAGTGAGCAGCCTTTAAAATCCCTTTAACCTCTTTATAACAAAAATGCAATGTATGCGATTTGAATTCGGGGCTTACTTAATAGAGAAGAGCCTTCTCAAACTACAGCCCTTACAGTGATGCTGAGACCACAGGTCTCCTCCCACTCTGGGCATGCTATGGACATGGCTTGTTTAATTGTGACTGTTAATTGGTAATTGTCTTAGTGAAGTGACTCCTCTAACCAGGCATCATTAAGTCACTAGGCAGTACCTACAGTATCCAGTCTCACAAAAATGTAATTACCACTTCATTACTAATTACCACCAGAGATATTTTGAACAGGGTGCTTCAAATCCCAAATGTCTCAGGGTGTGGAATTTTGGATGGGGGCTGTGGATCCGAGTGGGATTTCTCAGAGGCAGAAGGTGACTTACCAGGACTTTTCCCCAAACACGGTTTCGTCAGACTCTGCTGACAGGAAAGGTATTTATAAAACTCCAGACAGAGAGGACTCTCCTGGCCGCCACTGGAACTGCAGCTCCCCAAATCAGCCTTCCTGTGATAAAACACAGAGAATGGAAACCATACGTCCAAGTTTGTGAATCGTTGAAAAGAACAGGTAATTACAATTTTATCATTATGTAGATTTACATTCAAATCTACATAAAAATGCTCCAAACAACAGCTTGATTTATTACATGCTGAAAGCAAATGTTATGAGACCTACTGTATTAGTCCACTAAATTTGAAATGTGTTGTTATTGACAGAATGTATCGTCAATTGCATTGTTAAGCGCCTTGGGGCAACCTTGTTGTGAAAGGCGCTATATAAAAATACATTGAATTGAATTAAATATTGCA